TTTGTGAATTTTAGGAATCCGAATATGCTCGAGGTAACAAACCATCACTAGATTTAACAGATTTATAAGTTATATCTGAAATGTATTTTTTATCAGCCCATTTTTTTAACAGTTTATTAAGATCATTTTCAATTTTTTTAATAGGGTTCTTATCAACCAAAGAATAAGTTGATCGATCATCAAGCATATAATTTATATTCTTTACGTAAGAAGTTCTGTCAATAGCAACAGTCACATTGCCCTTGTCCGCACGTGTAAACATAATGTCAGGGTAATTCTTTATAAAATTCACTACATGTTTTTCTCTGGATAAAAGTTCTTTGTCAATGTCGGATAATTTTTTCTTTGTACACAAAGCGTTAGTCAAAATTGGAATCACATGCGATTTCAATAATTCTGTTGTTTTTTTATTGTAAAGTCTTAAATTGTTCTCAAGATCCTTAATAATTTCAAGTAAATTATTCTTATTGTTAACACTAGGCATGGAAAAGTTTTCGCCTAACTGTAATAATTCAATAACTTCAACAGAGAAGTCAAAAGAACTTAAATTAACAAACCACTTTTCACGTATATCAAATAGAGAAATTGAAGAATCAAAATTGCTAAAACTATTAGAATTAATAACAACATTATTGGAGTCAAGACCTTGAGGCGTTGGTTTATCAATAATAGTAAAAATATGTTTTTTAGAAACTTTGACAGAATCACTGATCACGCAAGTATTTATCGGTTTCACAGAATACATGATAGGTTTTATTGTGTCAATGTTACTGTTTATTTTCCTTTGTTTCAACCGTTCAATCTTATTGTTGATTCGGCGAAATTGATTAAACTCGAACCGATCAAGAATGCTATAGTGTGTTAAAGAAATTGAACAATATGTTGTTAGGAAGATATTCATGTAAATTTCTGTTCATCTTATGCATAGTTTTTCGTAAAGACCATAATTTCCGATGAGTATCATGTAACTCCAATTTAAGTACATTAAGAAAAACTCTGCGCACGCTGTTTTTCAATCTTAACGAGCATTTGTAATCAAAAAACTCATTACTATATAAGATGATGGTGGGGAAATTTGTACATATTGATGTATGTTAAGATCACGCGCTAGTACACAGTGTCCAGTGCTGACTGTTTTGGATGCTGTCTGCTCGCGTGTTATCTTTTTCAAGTATGTATTATAATTCTTATATTTATTTCTTTTTATTTGTAATCAAGGTTTTTCTTTTTCTTTTTCAATGTTTTGCGCTTCTACTCTTTAATTTATTATTAGATCACATTTGTATACACTGAAGAAGGTCCAAACTAGTGACTGAAACGTCTGTGTTATTTAATAAAGACTTTTTGTAATACACGACCAACTTGTATTTTACTGCTCGGATCGGCCTTTCAACTCAATTTCTTGACAATTTCACGAGCGAATTAATAAAGAATATATTGTTGCACTTCATATGCAATTTTGCGATTCTCCGCGAAAAAAGAAGAACTCAAAGTTGTGCGCAGATCTTGATTGTCCATTGTGATCAATTGCACAGAACATTATTACACATGTACAATGTTACACACATGAAGCACTATGCAATGTGATATTAATAATATTGTAGTAACATAAGGTTAAGATAAGTTCGGTTAGGTTGTGACCTCCCCCTCGGTTTGAGGATCGGGGGGACAACCCCGGCCTTCCAAGGGCAGAGCTGACTGCCACCAAGCGCGTCCCCAGGTTGCGGATAAGGGAACGGCCTCAAGTACTGAGGTTAGCTGCGAATAACCCCTTCGGGGGGAATAAGCAGTCGCGGACAAACAGCGGTGGATACTGAGGGTGGGGTGGTCGCTCCTGTAAGAAAGGAGCTGCCTATACAGTGCTCCAGTAAACCTGATGAAGTATCCACGTCAAAGGCGAGTGAGTGCCGCCTTAAAAGCACTCCAAACCCCAGGCAGATCAGGCTTGTTAGGTTTTGTTTACCAACCGATCTAGGTGAAGGAAAATACAGATGTAAAACCAAATAAGGAAAAAAATATGATGGACAGCAAGACAAAGAAGGATTTACCGCCCCAGAGTGATCGGACACTCAGGGGCCGGCACGGTGGGAGTACTGTCCCTGCTCTCGCCGCGTCGTTATCCAACGAAGGGCAGAAGGAGAGGTTAACGGCGGGCCCCTCTGAACAATCTGCTACCGCCGTAGCTAAGCAGTACAAAGAAAAAAGGAAGGCTGACAAGAACCTGGAGTCGGCTCTTCAAAAGAGTTTGGAGGTGGCCAATTGCTCCCTTGCTACGATGGGCATCGCCGCCCTTTTTGACCATGTGGGCAACTCCCTGGACGAGCTTTGGGAGCGACTTTGTCGTCGCTCCAAAATGTCCAGAGAGGAGAAAGCGGGCAGGCCAAGGGAGCTCCGAGAAAAGATTGTTTCAAGTCTTATGGAGCTCCATGCCCGATTCACCCCTCTCCATAAGACGGTGGACAACATCGAGAAAGATGTCGCCAACGTGGCCAGTGTAGTGGAAAAAGTCGCTCAAGGGCAGGTTGCCTCTGAACGACAAATTTCGGAAGCCATTCTCCAGATCAGCGAGGACTTTGATGAAGGTAATGCCTCCTGCCTCGCTGAAAGAAATTAAAAAGTGTGTTGTGGGGGCGCGTGCGGCGATCGAAAAGGTCCATAATGAGGCCTCCCGTTCGCCTCACGCGCTTCACAAAAGCATGGAGACGTCGGTGCGTGCCATTGCGGACGTCTCCATGCCGAGGCCGGAAGGAGCTACATGCTCCACTTCAGTCAGGAGCGGGAGTCAAATTCCTCCCTCCTGGCTGGAGGAGATTGAGAAGGTGGTGCGGTGCACCGTCTCGGGCAAGCTACAAAAACTTTTGGAGCGAGGACTCCCGAGACGGCTCCCCCCTGTTAGTAGGAAATTTCCGATTTCCTCGCCTGTTCCTGTTAGGACACAGGCGGAGGAAACGGAGCGGAGAAACAAGACAAAGAAAAAGAAGAAGAAGAAGAAGGAGAATAAGAGCAGGTGGTAAAGGCCACTAAGGCGCCCACGAAAAGTGGGGGGACGGCCGTTGGTGCCGATCGAGGAGAGTCTTCCTCTCTTTTGACCCCACCCTGGTCAAGCCAGCGGCCGTTTCGCGGGGTACTCCTGCGTACTGAGGCGGTCACCTTGCGTCTCGAGGGGGAGGGCATATCGTATGCCCAAGTCCTTCGAGACGCGAGATATAAGGTAAACCCTAGGTCGGCGGGCGTCTCCAGAGTCCGTCGGACCTTGGAGGGGCACTTGTTATTGGAGGTGAGGGGGGGGAAGACCGCAAATTTAAGGCGGACCTCCTCGCCACCAAGTTGAAGAAAGCTCTCCCCGAAGGAGTCAGTGTGGCTTGTCCATCCCGAAACGTGGAGATATTTGTTTCGGGATTGGACGAGTTCACCACGGAGGACGACATCTCGAAAGAGGTTGTGGCAGAGTTCGGTGGCGGGAGTGGCGTTAGGGTAGTATCCCTGCGTCGCTCCCAGCCCGTGGGTGGAATCGCCTTGGTTCGCTGCCCAGCTGAGGAAGCGGCCAAGGCGATTAAAGTAGGCAAAATGCCGGTAAGATGGGTTGTGGCGAGAGTGCACTCCGCCCCCGTCCCCTGCAGTGCTACAGGTGTTTCCAGCCTGGGCACTGCAGGGCTCTGTGCTCCAGCCAGGTCGACCGCAGTGATCTTTGTTATCGCTGTGGTCGGCCGGGGCACAGAGCGGTTGGCTGTACACAGGATAAGGGGTGTCCCCTCTGTGAGGAGTCGGGCCGGGAGTCCTCCCACCGAATGGGTGGAGCCCGATCTGAAGGAAAACACCGATGTAAAACCAAACTAGAAGGAAAAAATATGATGGACAGGAAGACAAAGGAGGACTTACCGCCTCAGAATGATCGGACACTCAGGGGTCGGCACGGTGGGAGTACTGTCTCTGCTCCCGCCGCGTCGTCATCTAGCGAAGGGCAGATGGAGAGATTGACGGCGGGCCTCTCTGGACATTCTGCTACCGCCGTAGCTGAGCAGTATAAAGAAAACAGGAAAGTCGACAAGAACCTGAAGTCGGCTGTTCAAGAGGGCTTGGGAGTGGCCGATTGCTCCCTTGTGACGATGGGCATCGGCGCTCTTTTTGACCATGTGGGCGACTCCCTGGACGAGCTTTGGGAGCGACTTTGTCGTCGCTCCAAAATGTCCAGAGAGAAAAAAGCGGGCAGGCCAAGGGAGCTCCGGGAAAAGGTTGTTTCCGGTCTCCTGGAGCTTTGCGCCCGATTCACCCCTCTCCGTGAAACGATGGACAACATCGAGTAGGGTGTCGCCAACATGGCCAGTGTAGTGGAAAAAGTCGCTCGGGGGCAGGTTGCCTCTGAGCGACAAATTTCGGAAGCCATCTTCCAGGTGAGCGAGGACTTTGATGAGGATAGTGCCTCCTGCCTCGCTGACTTAAAGGAAATTAAGAAGGGTGTTGTGGGGGCGCGTGCCGCGATCGAGGAGGTCCATAATGAAGCCTCCCGGTCGCTTCACGCGCTTCACGAAAGCATGGAGACGTCGGTGCGTACCATCGCCGACGTCTCCATGTCGAGGCCGGAAGAAGCTACATGCTCCACTCCAGTCAGAGAAAGGAGTCAGATTCCTTCTTCCTGGCTGGAGAAGATTGAGAAAGTGGTGCGGTGCTCCGTCTCGGAAGAGCTCCAAAACCTTTGGAGCGGAATCTCCCGAGACGGCGCCCCACTATTAATAAGAAATCTCCGATTTCGCCGCTTGTTCCTGTTAGAGCACAGGCGGAGGAAAAGGAGCTGAGGAAGAAGAGAAAGAAAAAGAAGAAGAAGAAGGAGAAGAAGCAGGTGGTAAAGGCCACCAAGGCGCCTAAGAGGTGGGGGGACGGCCGTTGCTGCCGGTCAAGAGGAGTCTTCCCTTCCTTTGACCCCATTCTTGTCAAGTCAGCGGCCGCCTCGCGAAGTACTCCCGCGTACTGAGGCGGTTACCTTGCGTCTCAAGAAGGAGGGCATGTCGTATGCCCAAGTCCTTCGAGACGCGAGGAATACGGTTGACTTTAGATTGGCGGGCGTCTCCAGGGTCCGTCGGACCCTGGAGGGGCACTTGTTGGAAGTGGGAGAGGAGGACTGCAAATCCAAGGCGGACCTGCTCGCTTCCAAATTGAGGGAGGCTCTCTCCGAAAGAGTTAGGGTGGCTCGTCCATCTCGAAACGTGAAGATATTAGTTTCGGGATTAGACGAGTTTATCGCGGAGGACGACCTCTGCAAGAAGTTTATGGCAGAGTTTGGTGGCGGGAGTGGAGTTAAGGTAGTATCTCTGCGTCGCTCCCAGTCCGTGGGTGGAGTCGCCTTGGTTTGCTGCCCAGCTGAGGAAGCAGCCAAGGCGATTAAAGTAGATAAATTGCCGGTGGGCTGGGTGATGGCGAAGATGCGAGCACTCCGGTCCCGCCCCCTGCAGTGTTACAGGTGTTTTCAGCCTGGGCACTGCAGGGCTTTGTGTTCCAGCCAGGTTGACCGCAGTGATTTTTGTTATCGCTGTGGTCGGCCGGGTCACAGAGCGGCCGGCTGCACTGAAGATGAGGGGTGTCCCCTCTGTGAGGAGTCAGGCCGGAAATTCTTCCACCGAATGGGTAAAGCCCGGTGCTTGGCCATCGGCCAGAGGACTTCCGGGCCCGTTAGCAAACCCTGACAAGGGTAGGGAGGATGCGGTTTTCCCCGGCTCCGATATAAGGATTCGAGGAGCCGTTCCTCCGTATATGTGGTGCGTTTAGCACCAGATATAGATGGTGACGCCTGGTTCTCTTTTAAGAGACCAGGCGGTATTAAGTGGTGGCCCGGTCCCCGTTGTTTTGAGCCCTAGTTGGAGATCAACTCAGCGATGGCTGGGCGCAATGTAGGGGGAGGACTTCCCTCTTGTCTCGCGTTTCGAGACAATAGGGAGGTCAATACTACTATCATGGGGTCAAGTCCGCTTCGTCGTTTGACTTGAGGTCGAGAGGGGTTCTTCATTGCACTCGGCCTGCATTCGGCGGGGGAGAGACTGTGTCCCCCTTCCCCTGATCGTGGAAAAGTTTTGCTTCTCTATTTAAAGGTATAGGGGGGCAACAGTTTCCATGCCTATTGGGCTGCCTCTGGGTTGTTCTAAAAGAGGTACCGGGGCAGCTGTAAAAAGGCGGAAGGTGGACACCGCAGAGATTTTAGTGGTTATTTCCCACCGGAGTGCGCTCTGGTGGAGGAAGTCTCACACTACCGTGGCCCACATCTAGTCTGGGTCAAGGTGTGCGTAAACGCATTTTCCCTGCGTAAATAAAAAAAAAGGTTGTGACCTTCCAGGCACGTTTCTGGCCTTGCCGTGGCGCCCGGGCTTGCGTGGGTTGATGAACCGAGGAGCTATGCCGGCGGGAGTCGACTTATCGGCTCCTGACAGGGTTTTCCATGCCGGACAAGTCCTCGGGGAGACTCCAGACTAACAGAAACTAAAGGAAGAAAAACTTTGACAGAAAATCCAGGCCGACGGGCTCGTTACCCCGGTGGGGGAGCTGTCTAGGGGATGGAAAACTCTGAAAACAAACCCGGACAGGACGAGTTCGTTAGTCTTGAGAGACCACCGTCTTAAAAGACGGCTACTCTGAGTACAAACCACCTTTAGAAACCTTATAAGATGGATGACACACAGAAAACAGGTTTACCGACGCAGTGCGCCTCGGATCGTACAGCGTCCGGCGTAGGGGGGGTTCGTGACCCTGCTCCCCCTATGTCGTCATCTAGCGAAGGGCCGACCGAAGTGTTGCCAGCGGGCACTTCGTGTCAGAATGTTACTGCTGAGGATCGGCTCTTGTCAGAGCCAAGACTATCAGTGCAGATAGTCTCACCAGAGACTGTGCAGCGGGCGTGTTCCGTTTGACCACAGTACGATTCGACACCGACCG